GAGAGAGAGAGAGAAACATACGCTGTTTGTGTGTTTGTACGCACTCGTTCTTGAGAGAGAGAGAGAGAGAGAGAGAGAGAGAGAGAGAGAGAGAGAGAGAGAGAGAGAAACATACGCTGTTTGTGTGTTTATATGCACTCGTTCCTTAGATAGACCGCTTCAGTCAGAGGCTTGTTTCATCTTCAGTAACCAGTATGATAATGAATTGTGCATGCGGAAAGCCCTTGCTGGCTAATTCTACCTACCAATCGGAGGCTTTCCCTAATGGTAGGTGTGAAATGGAGCCGGCGATTCAGTCGGCAGTGGGTGTGTTGGACCAGTTCAGCCCTTGGGAAGAGGGCTGGAAAAACAACCGATTGCGCGCGGGGAAATTCAAGGCTACCCAGGTGGGAACACTTTATACCTAGTCCAGGCGGAGTCGAGCCGATGGTAGTGTGGAAGCCCTATAAGTATCTTGTTTATGAATTAGCGAAAGATGGAGCAGAAGATCGATCTGTTGTGGTGAAGAGAGAGTTAAGCCAGAATGTGAAGCTCTTAATTTACTTGTCGATCAAGATTCTAACCCTAATCCATGATAAAGAGCGAAAGAATGACATTGTGGATACAAGCAGCCAGAATGAGTTTTCTCGGAGGGTGTCTGGGCTTTCCAACGGCACTGCTTAGCATTACTCAGATAAGTGTGGTTCAGTTTGACAGGATATTCCAAAAGCACAGTTTGGTATTTCCCCCCAACTTTACCCCAACCTATCAGTACCTACTATTGTTGAGCTTTCTGCCGGCAGTCGACAGACACCTTCAGGAATGGCTTGTGAAAAAAAATGTAAGGAGAGCAGCTTCAATTGCGTTATGTTCAAACTAAAATAAAGTCTATGACAGCACTGAGACCACCCCCATACCTCATTTTTACCACCATTTCATTGTCTTTTGTGAAAAGGACGATTGGGCCACATTACCGACAATTCACCAAAAAGAGCCGGCTCCCAAGTGGCTCCTCAGATTTTCTGTTGCGTAGAGTACATTTATAACCAAAATAATGCTAAACTATATGTAAAATGATTTACTAATGTAAAAAAATGCTATATATCAAATATTTATCATTTCTATGGATTTAGTTACTGAACACTTTAAGAAATCTCCAATTTCCGACTGCTGGCGCTCATTTTCTCACCGTCGCACTCTCCTCTCTCTAGCTCGCCTTTTTCCTCCTCCTCATTCCCTCTCATCTCCCTCCACCCGCATGTGCTTTGCTGTGTGTCTGAGTCTGATCCTCCCTCTTCCTCGCCCCTACTGCTCTGTGTGGACAGTCTGGACACACAGTTACACATGTTGAAAGCCTGTAGCTTTCACCAAAGCAAGAGGGGAGGGGGAGGGGACGGCTCCCAATGACGAGCCGGCTCCTGTCGTTCACTTCAAAGAGCCGGCTCTCAGAGCCGGTTCGTTTGCGACCGACACAGCACTACTGCTCACACGTGGTCGGGTATCTCCCTAAACGAAGATAATTTTCTACGATTTGGCCTGTCATCTACACAAAAACGCATATTTACGCAACAAAAACAAATCTTTTTAAAAACTTTGGCCAAAGTAAAGATTTGTGTTGTTAATCTGTTTTAAGCATTTCTGTGTGGACAGAAATAACCAAACTTTTAGGTTTCGCAACATCCCTGTCTGCGACAAGTGCCATGTGTGCTTACACTACAAAATGGATGCCTTCAGAGCTGGGCTCGTGTTATCAAATTCCATTTAACTAGTGTTTAAACTAGTTTTAAAACTACATTTAAGAGAAATTCAACCTCCTTATTGGTCCACACAAATAAGCTAGGCATGTCTCCTTAGTCCTCTCTTGTACTGTCACCCAAGACTGCTCTCCAATCCACACCAGTAACACCATTATAAAGTTTGCTGATGACATCACCATCATGGGACTGATCGACGATAACAATTAATCAGCATACAGAGAGGAGGTTCAGCAGCTGAAGCAGTGGAGTGACGACAACAACCTGCAGCTGAACACGGCCAAGACCAAGGAGATGGTATTCGACTTCAGAAGAACAAAGCAAACTAAGCACTCTGCCCTCTACATTGATGGGGAGGAGGTAGAAAGGGTAAAAAGCTTCAAGTTCCTTGGAGCCCACATCTTGTCGACCTTACCTGGTCCACAAACATCTCCCACCAGGCAGGGAAAGCACAACAAAGGCTGTACTTCCTCATGAAACTGCGTCAGGCCCAATTACCCCAGAGACTGCTAGTTAACTTCTACCGCTCCACCATCGAGAGCCTTCTGAGTTACTGCTGCACACTGGTTAAACTGCTGCAGCGCAGAGGACGAGAGGAAGCTGCAGCGGGTGGTAAAGGCTGCAGAGTGAGCGATTGGCACCTCACTAACCCCTCTCAGAGACATCTGGCAGACTTCAGCAGAAGGCCAGCGTCATCATCAAAGACCCCTTGCACCCTGGACACTCACTTTTCTGCCTCCTGCCCTCTGGTAAACGCTACAGGTCAGTCAGGACAAAAACAAACAGACTCAATAGGAGCTTTTACCCACAGGCTGTTAAACATGCCCTACCTCCACCCTGATTAAAAGGTAACTGCTCCACCGACACTCATGGATATGGACACTGCACCTTATTTATATTTATAAATGGGGCTGCATGGTGGCGCAGTGGTTAGCACTGTAGCCTCGCAACACGAAGGTCGCAGGTTCAAAACTCGGCTGCGGCCTTTCTGCGTGGAGTTGCGTGTTCTCCCCATGCATGCGTGGGTTTTCTCCGGGTACTCCGGTTTCCCCCACAGATCACAACATGCCCTATAGGTAAAAATATATATATATATATAAATATATTGTAAGTCGCTTTGGGTAAAAGCGTCTGCTAAGCACATAAACATAATTTGTATTTCTATTTATAATACAATGCAACCGACATTCCTACCTCTTAAACTGAATTTATTACAAACTTATTAATTATAGCTTCAGCAACACCCCTCACCCCCACTCAATGTGCTCCCCTAGCGTAGCTGCTACTTACCACATGGCAAGATTTATGGTGGTTCCTTCTTCCTGAAAGAAGGATTTGAAGTTCACTGAACTTATTGCTTTTCTCTGTGTCTGGTTCGATTATGTCAAATTAGTGATGCACATTTGTAGTCCTGGCGCAGTAGTGGCATTAAAATGCTTCACGGACATCATATGTGAAATCCATGGCACAAAACTAGCGGAATTAGAAAATTACGCTTTTAGCCTCATTGACTTGTATTCATTTTTTCTTTTTCCCGGGACCCATGGTCCAGAAGTAGATGGGTGTGACTTAAGCTCCCCATAGTGAATTTTAAAGAAGCATTTAGATACTAAGAACGTGCTAATTTTCGAACGGGGGGAAACGCTATTTTAGGTTTTGTGTGAAAATAAGTCCAGGACTACACATGCGCTTCACAAAAGTGATGTAATTGATCCAGACACGGAGAAAAACTGAGGGAAAATGGCTGTAAGTTCAGTGAACTTCAAATCCTTCCTTCAGAAGGAAAAAAAAACACCATAAATCTGGCCATTTGGTGAGTAGCAGCTATGCTAGGGGAGATGAGATTATGTGGTGATGTCACAAATGCGAAGTGTCAATATCAAATTTGTAGTCATGCTAATTACAAACTTTTACAAACTGATCATTCTCAAAGGAAGTGACAGGCATGGTTGAAACACCCATCATTACTTTTCATTTAAATTGCAGTACAACAAATATGCGATACAGGGACTAAGGCAAAACAAATTAGACAACAGCTCTTTTAGTCCCGTTGACTTGTATTCATTTTTTCCTTCTTCTGGGGACCCATGAGCCAACCGGAGAGGGAGGAGACTTAGGCTCCCTATTCGTAGCATTGTTTTGTAAAAGGCATGAGATTTTTATTTTTTTTTATTTGGTGTAGCCTGGTTTCTATTAGTTTAAGCCCAGTTTACCTGTGGAAAGCAGTATTATAAAGCAAATGTACCTGAAGCACGCGCGCGCGCACACTCACACACACACACACACACACACACACACACACACACACACACACACACACACACACACACACACACACACACACACACACACACACACACACACACGTGTGCACAGTGCACTGAAAATGCTAATAAAATAGTTCTGGGTTTGAGGTTTTTTAATAAGGATTGTTGTTAGATGTACTTAAATTGAACAGCAAAGCTGAATAATTGCTGCTAAGCCCGACAGTCATTATTTTAAATGTACAAGAACAAGAACAAGAACAAGCCTACAGTGTTCTGCTTGATGAGAAGAATCCACAGCCCTGCTGTCATGCATTTGGGTGATAATTGATATTCTTTGTACTCGAACTCCAATTGTGGCACACACAACCCATAAATAAAGGCTTAATATATTAATGCACGGCACTGCGCACATTCTGCTGCAGAAGACAAAGAACTCAAATTAAATGGTGAAAAAAGCTTTTGAAGATTTGTGAAACTCTCATTTGAAGCACTGCTTATTAATCAGTTATTGGATGGAAGTGCAGGCTGGCTTGCACCTGTTGTATAAAATAGTGTTTAGACTGGTAATATTTAGACATCTATTTTCAGTTGTAACCATAAAAAAATCCTAATCCTTCTCCCTGCAATGCAGCCTTTACATCAATTAAAATTACGTCTTAGAGAAAACCAGCATACTAGAACCAACATGTTGCTACTATAATGACTAATTAGCTCCAATCTGGCCCACTGACTGAATACAAACATAACAGTTCTTAACTGTTCTTATAGATTTGGCTACTTATAGATTTGGCTACTTCCTTTCAAAATATTGTTTAAATTTCACATGAAACTATCATCTTATATTGTCCAGATCGATTAGCATTCCGTACTGTCATCAAAAGCCTTACATTTTCAGTCATATACAGGTCTACTGCCCTCAGGTGGAAGATTTACATGTAGAAAGGGTTATTTTGGCAGTTTAACTGTTATGTTATACAATTCTCTGTCTCTGTCTGTCTAGGTACATGGCCATCGTCCATCCTCTGCAACCTCGTATGAAGTACCAAACAGCCTACTGCCTAATAACAGGAGTCTGGATTGTTCCCATTCTGATATCCATACCATCTGCATACTTTGCCTCTGAGACCATGTACCCTCATGTCGACAACATCACGAACACTCACAAAGTCTTCTGTGCTCAGATATGGCCCGTTGACCAGCAGGCCTTCTATCGGTCCTACTTCCTGTTTGTTTTTGCAATCGAGTTTGTTGGACCTGTGATCGTCATGGCAATGTGTTACGCTCGCATTTCTCGTGAACTGTGGTTCAAAAATGTACCCGGTTTTCAGACAGAGCAAATAAGGAAAAGGCTGCGATGTCGCCGCAAGACGGTAATGGTTCTGATTGGAATTTTAACAGCATACATTCTGTGCTGGGCACCATACTATGGCTTCACTATTCTGCGAGACTTCCATCCAACTCTCATCTCCCGCCAGAGAAACTCGTTGGTGGCTTTCTACATCATTGAGTGCGCTGCCATGAGCAACAGCATGATCAATACCTTCTGTTTTGTCAGTGTCAAGAATAACACTGTTAAGTACCTGAAGAAGATCGTACTGCTGCACTGGAGGTCATCATATGTACCTAGCAAGAATGCAGATGAAATAGATGTAAGAACATCCTCCATGCCAGTCACAGAGGAAATTGAATGCATTCACCTGAGGTGAGGACAATAAACTGTTGACATTAAAGCATTGATTTAATTATTTGGAGTTTTTTTCCCCTCGCATTCCAGAATAAATTCAGTCCTTGTGAAGTACAAGTAAATTAAACTCTCTGGATAGGACGAGCTTAGGAAGTAGACCAGTAGACCAGGTGGTGTAATCCCAGTTTCCTCATTCCACACGTGCAAACTCTGCCAGTAAACTTCACGTTACCTCAAGTTTGTTCACCAGGGTCAATGTGACTTCATGTATATAAAACAGAAACTAAAAAGCTGTATTAGAGACTCTACAGACAACAAGCGCTGAATGAATGGACGATTGTAATATAAAATCAGCGTCTGACCTTAAACTGGAGAAGGAGTTCCATCCATCCATTTTCAGCCGCTTATCCAGAGTCGGGTCGCAGGGGCAGTAGCCTAAGGCGAGAGTCCCAGACTTCCCTCTCCCCAACCACTTGGACCACCTCCTCCGGGGGAATCCCAAGGCGTTCCCATGCCACGTGCGAGACATAGTCCTTCCAGCGTGTCCTGGGCCTCCCTTTAGGCCTCTTCCTGGTTGGACGTGCCCGGAAAACCTCACCAGGGAGGTGTCCAGAATGAATCCTGACCAGATGCCAGAGCCACCTCAACTGGCTCCTCTCGATGTGGAGGAGCAGCGGGTCTACTCCGAGCCCCTCCCAGATGACCGAGCTTCTCACCCTATCTCTAAGGGAGAGCCCAGCCCCTCTGCAGAGAAAACTCATTTTTCATTGGAGGAGTTACCTTAGAAAATGATGTTGTCTCAGCAGATTGTAACTACTGTGCCATTCTTACAGATGTTACTGTATATTGTTCAGTTTTGTTGTCTGTAACATAGAACTCTTGTTATTGATAACAGCATATGGTCCTTTGGCTATAACTAGTATTTGCTTGAATCAACTTAGTTCAAAGTTGATATTTTAACAAAAAAACAACGAAAAAACTGGTTATCTAAAAAAGCTGTGTTCTGTTGTTCTTTGAAAGTATTACAAGTAAAATAAATTTTATTGATAATTTGTCCTTGAATAAAGTCAAATAAAATAATGAAAAAAAGCAGTGTGTTGCATTTCATTTTAGAGAAATGAGCAGGAAACTCCTTAACTGATTTGTGTTGAAACAATTAAGCAAAAAGAGTAAATGCAAACAGGACATGTCAGATAGATTTTTTCTAATGTGACCGTGATCCGAACTCAGTCTGATGCAACAAACATGTTCGTTGAGAGTTTGAGCCAAAAAGCTGTCCAAAGTCAGGATTACCCTGCATTCTGAAATGCTAAACAGACTTCAGGAACTACTGATCTCCCATTTAGCTAAAAATGAAATGACGGATGATTAAATGTATTGCTTCACTAAAATTATAAACATATGTTTCATGTTATACCATCACGCGTGCCTTCAGCTTTTGGCTGTGACATCAAAACATAAAGCAGGACCCACATCAAGCTTTTTTGTATTAATCTTTTTTTTCTTTTTAAATGCTCATTTGTTTGTTTTGGGGTGTAAGATAACCTGCTTGTTGTCTTTCTTCAAAGATGTTTTAGAATCACTCTTAGTCCTACCCCCCTCCTGGGACCAGGTTGTCATGGGAGAGAGGCTGGTGGAAAACTCTGAACAACCTCAGGATCACAGGGGTGTGCAAACCCCTCCATCACGGTAAGATAGTGATTCATCAAAGGAGAGTTGCTTTTAACATACATACACACAAAGAAAATGAAAAGTGTGTTTGTTTGTTTTTGCCTTAGACATTTTATGAGGTTCTTTTTCTTCCTCTGGTTCTAAAACATCCGTGTTTTCAGAAGTTTCAGACTTCAGAAGCTACCTCTGTTATTGCTTGACAAACGTCACTTTGTTCTGAAATGATGGGATTTTGGTCGGCTTCAGAATTTGATGAAGTTTGTGAAGCTGCAACTTAAATTTGGATTGTTTCATAGATAGACATTTGTTCAGAAGAAGGGTCTGTTTATTCAGGAATCGTTCCCTGAACCAGTTCAACAATGAAGGCCTTAGTGGTTTTCTTTTCTTCTTGTTCCCGGATTATTTGAGCAGATTTGACCATTTTATAGGTCACATCTGTTAAAAGAATGGTAAATCTATTTGCAGTGTCAAATTCAGAAATCAGTTCAGAAAATGAGAAGTTAGACAGAGTTTCAACATCTGAGTGACTTTTAGCTCTAGTAAATGTATTTATTTATAAGTAAATTTTATTTATATAGCACTTATCACAGACATAGAATCACAAAGTGCTTCACATAGATCAAAGCAAAATAAAACAAAGTCATAAAATCTTAATGATCTCAAAACAGAAATAGATCAACATCAGAAAAAATAAAGTCATAAAATTATTAAATATCATAAAACAAATAAAAGATTATTACAAATTTGAGTTAAAAATTACAAAACAAAATATGTCAAAGCAGCTAAAAGGGTCTTTAGCTGTTTTTTAAAAGTGTCCAGACTGTCAGTGCTGCGTAAGGATAAAGGAAGACTTTTATATCTGGTCTTTGGAACTTTTAAACGGCAGCAGAATGCCACTGTTTCATACCAAGGTCAAGGTCACATTTATTTCTAAAGCACACTTATTGTTGCTTCCACAACCCAAAGTGCTGTATAACACAGAAGATAAAATCGCAAGAAAGTATAACTAAAAACCATAAAACCATAAAAATCAACAAGTTAGGATAAAAACAGCATTACTGTTTCAAACCAGCAGCGAGGCAACAATTACCGCCCAAAAGATAGGATCGGGTTCTATTTTTGCCACGAGCCGCTTCTGGGATGCGTCAATTTCCACAGTTAACATAGGACTAGACAGGAAATGACACACTGTTTCAGTGTCAAATCCCCAGTAATTTTCTAAATCAAAGAACTGCAGCAACGCAGTTTCATATATATATGAAGCTTACGCGTGACCCAGTGGCTTATTTACTCACAGCATCGTTTCAGACTTGCAGCGGTGTGTTTTTCGTGGTTTTAATCCAGGCAGTGGAGAGGAACAACATCATATATGACACAAAACAGCAATATCAAACTTATTTCCTTCTTTTTGGTTTAATGGCGGACTGCATAAATAAACCGTGACTCGAAGTCTCCAGGGATCGTGTGTTCTTGCGAGTCCAGCGAAGAGCACAGCGAGGAAGCTGCGCCACTGCCAAGACTCTCCCAGTAGGAAACGGACTTCTTTGAGGTTCTCGAGTAAACCGTTCCGTTGCTGTTCTGTGCCGCTGATGCTTCCAGTGTGAAACCAGGGTATGGCTTTAACAGTTCAGTAATATACGGAGGAGCTTTACCGTGTGGAGCCCTGAAAGTTATAGTCAGGATTCGACAATGGATTCTAAAGTTAACGGGTAACCAGTGCAGAGACATTATAATAGGAGTGATGTGTGCTCTTCTGTTTGCTCAATTTAGGAGCTTGCTGCAGATTTCTGGACCAACTGAAGGCGGTCAAGGGCTTTTCTATTAAAACATGTGAAATGTGTGTTACAGTAATCTAGACAGGAGGAGATAACGGCATGGATAACCATTTCAAGTTCATGTTTTGACACCAACCTTCGCAGTTTGGAGATATTTCTTAAATGATAGAAACAGTATTGTCATGGTCTGCGTCTGCGTCTCCCCTCATGTGTCTCCTTGTGTTCTCCATCCCTCTCTAGGTCGTCCTTTTGTGTCTCCTAGCGCCCTCATGTGTCCTTGTCTGCGTCTCCCTCATGTGTCTCCTTGTGTTCCTCATTTGTCCCCAGATCTGCAGCCCTCTAGGTTTCCTTCCCCAGGTATCCCCCTCCCAGGTCCAGTGCTCCCGTGGTCCCCCTTAGTCACGCCCCTGTAGTTTTTCTTTCTGTAGTGTTTTCCTTTAGTTTCAGCTGTTCATTTTATTAGTCTCTTTAGTGTGTTTTTCCCACCAGTGTTTGTGGTTTTCCTCCCCCTTAGAATATTAGTTATGTTTGCTGCTTTTCTTGTCTTTAGGTTTTACTCTTAGGTCATGTTAGTTTCATCCCTGCTTTCACTTGGTTTCTCTCCCCTGACACCTGCAGCTCATCTCCCTCTCATCCTCCCCAGTGTATAAAACCCTGTCTCAGTGTTTCGTCGGTCCATTGTTTGTGTCAGCGTTGTTTTGTTCCCCTCCTCTTGGTCTCTAGGTTTGTGCTCTTTAAGTGAGCTTTTGGTCTCCAGGATTTTTGGACGTTTGTTTTCTGGCTTCCTGCCCTTTTGGATTTTGAGCTTTTGTCTCCAGGATTTTAGGACATTGGTTTTTCTCATCCAAATAAAAGGATTTTACTTTACAAATCGCTCCTGCCTCTTGTCATCTGGTGTTTCTGCATTCTGGGTCCAAACCTCCTCCTGGCTCACATCGTGACAAGTTTTGGACCAATGTCTTGAGTGACCTTCAAAAGACATTGACTGGTCAAAAACAAAACACCCAAATTCCTTGTTTGTCTTGATGGCAGAAGATAAATGACCAATTTTTTGACTAAGCAGGAGAACCATTCAGCTTTAACTGTAACTGAAGTTTTATTGTGTTCCAGTAAATCTCTTTGCTTTTTTCAAACCTAAATTTTGCTCTGTGAAGCATTTTGGTCAGCTTTGCCATATAAACAAATTGGACTTTGACCTGGTGTATTGTTTCCCCTCCTTTTCTGCTGATTTTGGTATAGTTAGGATCACACAGTTGTTCTGGAATTCAACAAAACAGGAACAAAAATGAACAAATAAATAAACTAATAAATAGCTGGAATAGTAAGTTATTTCCCCTTTCCTTCCTCCTCCCATACTGTCCTGATCTCTGTGGTGGTGGTTTTAATATACTCATTTAAAAACTAATTAAAAGCTTTTTATATTGGACCCATGTGTGAACAAAGTTTGTGAGCAGAGAAGTAACATCTCGTAACTTCTCATCTACTTGGGAGAGCAGCCCTCCCTTTATGTGTAGTAAAAGCTTTCCTTACATGGCTGACGAGCTTTATTACCATCACAAACACATCCAGCACCGTGATTCTATCCAGGAATCTGCCTTTGACATTAACAAGAGGTGGCTGCTCTTCCCTGCTTTCCTCCTCACCAAATGTCCCAAGGTTGTGCTGGGGTGAAAAAAATGTTTATCCATTTGTAGTAACATCTAGAGCCCTCTTTTCCTTCAATGGTAATTTAACGTTTTTACTGAACAGTCTACTCCTTTGATGGTCACCATGTCTCCCTGTCACCAGATTTCTCAGTTTCCTCTTCACAATGTAGGAAACAGCTATTGCTGCTTTGTCAGACCATACCCCGCCTGGCTTATGGATTGAAAATGATCTACTAAATTAGCCTTAAAGTTTGAACTTGTATATTTGAGTCTGCCTCGCATGTGGGCTGAATGTCAAAAAAGATATTGTGTCACAAAATAGCCTAAATCCTCTCATCGTGCGCAGTCGGCTCCAGCAACCTCTTGCACCTCCACCTGTTGTTTCTTTCCCACCCACCCAGTTTCCATCCAGCTACTTAAAATCAGACCTCTATTTTCCTGCAACTATGTGATTTCTAAGCCAGCTGCTTAAAGCAACATTATGCTTCTTTATTGCTTTTTGTTTGTCTGTTATTCCTCCCTGAGAATGAAATGCATAGCAATGAATAATTTCTAAATGTCATCCCAGTCGTCAGAACAAGTTATGATTCTTTGCAGGAAAACAAACATACGTTGCCAAACAGACATTTTGCAACATAAAGAGATTTGATTGATCTTTTTCAGCATGACACAAAACAGTCACCTTTACAGCTAAAATGCAATTCGTTTGTAGAATACTCAAGGGGGAACAGGCGTTACTTCTAATGCATTCTTGTTTTCTACACAAAAATGAAAATAATAACTCGTTTGTCAAATGAGGCTTATGAACCAGTATCAGTATGTTTCACCTTTTGAAGCCCTCCCAACATTTTTACCATAAAATGGTCCAAAATGTCTAATTTTCTGCAGCAAAACATGACTTATTTTATAAAAAATAGAGAGCTTAGTACCGTGCAGACAGTTGTTGTTCTATAGTCAGTATCTTAAATGTGTCTAAACTGAATTTGAACAGTCTAACAGATTCCTGATTAGTTTGCTGCTTCAAGCTCAATTAATCTATGAAGGTGCACACTAAACCCTGATTTATTGCAGTTTGTAACAAAGACAACAATTTTGTTTAATTGTTTTTATAAGTCAAGATGAAATGACAAATTAATGCGTGAAATTTGAAGGTCAACAATTGAGCTGGAAGCAGAAAAAAGCAGACTTAGCCAAACTAATCTCTTTCCTTTTCTCAATAAAGCAGCAGAAGAGCTCTGCTCTTTACATCAGTGGCCAAGTCTTGCCAGGAGCAAGTTTACCAGTTAAAAGACTATTAGACGACAAGCCTGCTTTTCTTGGACACCAGTTTAATGTAAGGTCTCAGTGTGTTTCTCTACCCTCGTTGTTCCTACGGATTTACACAAGAAGGCATTCTGTGACAGGAAATCGTTGGCAGGGCACGAATAATGATTCTGATTTTAGGCTTTCATTGAGCCCTCTTGAGAACAATTTAATCAATATTCTTCCTTGAACAGTTTAAAATAAAACAAGTCCATTTGTCTTTTGTCCTTTGGAAACCAGGGTGACGTAATGGCTTTGTGCAATCTATGAAATTATGGATGAAAACATAAAGATTTCTTTCCATGGTAATAATCCCATTTCTATAATATTTATAAATATAAAATTTTACAGCCAGTTTAATTTGTTGATGTTTTATTATTTTCTCAATGTCTGCAACATTTCATTTTATTTTTTGCTGATTAATTTTCAAGTAACAAAACACAACTTTATTAAAAATTTACCTCAAACTGGGTTTGACCCTTGCTGGGATTCATCCAGAACACAACTCTGAGAAACAATCGCACAAAATGAATGAATGCCTTGGAAGTTGTACTCTGGGGACAAAAGTTCCAGTGTGCGTGTTTTAGTACTGAGAATTCAGCCAGAGGAGAAAGTAGCTTCAGACCACAATTTAGAGTCTTATTTTCTGATATTTTGACATCTCACCTCCGATTGGATAACAGCAAAGCAACTCTACCACTGACTCTTTGCTTAATTAATGTTTTATCTCCATAAATAACACAAACCTGAAAGAGTTCGGCCGTTGTTTTGTGTTGTTAACGGTTAGCTTCTACTAGTCGAGACGTTCTCAGCTCTTTCCTGGATGCTAAACCAACAACAGCCTTTCCCGTTGCGAGTCAAGATGGGTGAGATCATGCAAGTTAAGTGACAGTGGGATGTAGAGGTCTGTCTTTTCTAATCCTAGAGCTTCATCGTCTATTTGCTATCAGAAGCTAATGCAGAAAATAGATGTACGAGACTAGTTTTCATGTTCAGCCTGCATGAAAAACTCAGAAATAATAATAAAATAATAGTAATAAATGGTTTCTCAGTGAAGAACTTATTTAGAGGTGAAATATGTAAAAATGACATGATGTGGTCAAATTCATTTTTCTAAGCAAAAAGTCACTTTCTCACTGCTGGGCTGTGAGTTTCAAAGCTGTTGCCAGTTAGGGTTCCCTGCCAGAAGACTCCAATCAAAGTGGAGTCATGCACAGTAAGTTGATACCTGTACATTAGTGTGCAAGTTCAGACAAGTATACTTACTGCTCCATTAACTATTCTATTAGCAAAATGTATCTCATAATTCATTGGATGGATTTAAAAGTTTTATGACCGTTAACTTTATAGGGACATCATTAAATGAATGGCTTTCAGAGTCAATTCCATTCAATATGGTTGCCATGGCCTCCTGAAAAATAAATAACGCTATGCAAGTTGTTGAGCTTCATCTGTAGTCCAGGTGCCAGAATGTGAATTATATCAAGAGACTGCAAAAAACAAATGTTTCTAAATGAAACCAACATATCTATAGATAATTTTTTTCCCTTGACTTTCTTCTCTGACATGGAAGCCAGGGAGTAATATTCCTTCCTTTGAGGAATCCTATGCTTTTCATGTATATTGAAGCTATATTCTTGTTTTTTCAGCCTGCTTCATTAGACATGTTGATGCTCTCAACTCCACTTCTCATTTCATTTTCCCTAAAGCATCTGTTTGAGAGACTATAATGTACAATACTTAGCACACCCTGGCACACACAGCAAGGGTGCTTTTAAAATGTCATTATCGTTCTCTCCTTATTTGTAGTTCAGGCATGAGCAAGGCCAGATTAACACTTTGTTGTGCCCTGGGCAACAATATTCAAGGGCCCCATCATCACGACCCAAGGATCACCATAATATGGTCACATACAGAATATTTTACTGTAATATGTAATAAATATACTCAATACTTGAATTCCTGACGTCACGTAACCCGCTCATAGTAACCTTTGACCCACCTCATGTGGACTGACCAATGAGGAGAGGGTCTTAACTTGAGGCCCTCTCTTCATTGGTCAGTCTGCATGAGACTGACTTTCAACTGACGTTCAAAGTCATAGGCAGCGAAGCGTCTCTGTGCAGCGCAAAAGCCCGGGTGGACAGTTTGTTTAATATAGGGTGATCATATTTCCATTTCCAAAAAAGAGGACAGGGGACCTGTGCCTATGACGTCACACTATGGCAACGTCACACAAACCACGCCAAACATCTCCTCTAAACTCTCCAGGAAAACTGCTGCCTGGATTCTTACTTTTTCACCTCATCAGTTACATTTGAGCAGACCAAAGGGATCTCCTGACCACAAAGCGGAGAACGTGTTTTGATGCTACGTCAGTGAGGTGAAATCACCGCAGCACAGGCGATGAGCTCCGCAGTAGCAGAGCGCTTCAGGCACAAATAAGACAGAAAGTAGAGAACATGTGCGGACATGAACGATCGTGTGTTAATTATAGTTTTTTGGTTGCGCCACTTTGAGAATGGACCGTGCGCTGGACGCAGCAGCCTGGAGCGCACCAACGATCAGAGCTCTGCCGCTCTCTGTGCTCTCCGAATCCCGGTACACTGAGAGTCCATATACTGATGTAATATAGGTAGAACACTTT